CAACTCCATGTGTCTATTTAGGTTTTTCTCAGGTTCATTATGCACACCAATGTTTTGATCCCACTAAATCTAAACTTTATATCTCAAGAGATGTAAAATTTTTTGAAAATATTTTTCCGTTTCAAACAACATTCTCGCAGTTAAAAGATAAGTCTTTTACACCAATGTGGGAGGTTTCTGATAACACTCCTACTCATTCTCCAATTCAAACTCCTCATATTTTTTCACTTCCTTCTCCTCTACTAGTTCGAGATAATTGTACCAGTGGCCAAACTAGTGAGCCCGTCTCCTCTGGCCAGAATCATGCGCATTCCACGGGTTCAGGTAATTCACTTTCTCTGCCTTGTCCTTTCCCTGCTTCTTTGCAGCAACCTCAATCCCTTATCCCAGCAAATAATCCAACTCCCCATATTATCACCTACCAACGTAGAAACAAAAACCAAAACCTACCACCTACTTGTACAACTTCTCCTGCACAACCAACAAACTTGCCCTCTCATTCACCACCTCCACATACTTCTCCTCCTCCGCCTCTGCCCCCGCCTCCACCTCCTCATTCAACCCGTCCAACGACACGATCACAGAACAATATTTTCTGTCCCAAGAAACCATTCAATTACCTTGTCCAGCTTCCTGCTGATGTTACCCCTCATACCTTCAAGCAAGCTCAAAAGCACCCAGAGTGAAGGTCAGCTATGAAAGCTGAATTTGATGCGTTAATTCAGAATCAAACCTGGGAGTTGGTTCCTCGAGATTCTAATAAGAATGTTGTTGATTGTAAGTGGATTTACAGGATCAAAAAGAAGGCAGATGGTTCGATTGACAAGTACAAAGCTCGTCTGGTTGCCAAGGGGTTTACTCAGCGACCGGGTCTTGACTATCACTGCACGTTCAGTCCGGTTGTCAAACCCACAACTATTCGTGTTGTTCTTTCACTTGCAGTTCAGTGAAATTGGGTCTTACATCAGTTAGACGTCAACAATGTTTTTTTACAAGGCACACTTGAAGAAGAGGTTTTCATGAACCAACCACTTGGATTTGAGAATGCAGCTTATCCCTCACATGTTTGTCGTTTGCGTAAAGCCATTTATGGTCTCAAGCAAGCCCCCCGCGCTTGGTACAATAAACTGACATCCTATCTTTTCTATATGGGGTTTGTTAAGTCTCACTCGGACCCGTCTCTCTTTGTTCGGCGTGACTCTAATAGTGTTGTGTATATTTTGGTCTACGTAGACGACATCATCCTTACAGGAAACATTTCTTTAATGGTTCTTCAGGTTATCTCTTCATTGGCCTCCCGTTTTTCACTTAAAGATCTTGGCCCTTTATCCTACTTTCTTGGAGTTGAGGTTCATCGAAATGCCAAAGGCCTATTTCTCTCACAAGCAAAGTATGTTTCAGATCTTCTCCATGACCTTCTGATGCAGGACTGCAAAGGTGTTTCCACGCCCATGAGTTCTTCTCAAAGTCTGTTGCTAAATCATGGTACTCCATCTCATGACGCTACAGAATATAGGAAAGTAATTGGCAAGTTGCAATACTTGTCTTTTACCAGGCCTGATGTTTCTTACTCGGTAAACAAATTGTCTCAATTCATGCATGCTCCATCTGAAACTCATTGGAAGGCTGTCAAGCAACTCATTCGTTATCTCAAAAGTACTGCTAACTATGGCCTTCAAATATCTCCTACCACAAGTCTTAATCTCTCTGTTTTTTCTGATGCTGACTGGGCCGGCAACCTTATTGATCGAAGTTCCACCACTGGTTATATTATATTTCTTGGCCTTACTCCAGTTAGTTGGTCCTAAAAAAAACAACGCACTATTGCTAGCTCATCCACTGAAGCAGAATATCGGGCTGTTGCTAGTGCTGTTGATGAGATCACTTGGGTCAAAAATCTTCTCAGAGAACTTCATGTGAATATCTCCACACCTCCAACAATCTTTTGTGACAACCTCGGTGTCACCTATTTATGTGAGAACAATATTCTTCACAGCCGCATGAAGCATATAGCTGTTGATTTCCACTATGTTCGCCAACAGGTTCATGATAAGCGTCTTGTTTTCAAGCACATTCCTAGTTCCGACCAGTTGGCTGATGCTCTCACCAAGCCACTTCCAAAAGAGTCCTTCCATCGTCATCTGTCCAAGCTAGGTGTTGTTGCACACCATCTAACTTGAGGGGGGTGTATTAGCACATAATAGTATTTACTGTTGTTAATTGTAATTTACTGTAGCTTATATTTTAAATTTATCTTGTTTCCAATATTATAGGAGTTTGTTATTTAGTTCCTTGATTTCTGGTTTGTTCCACTATAGAAGGAGTACTATCTCAGTAACTCTGTTATAGGCTTGTGTATATATTGAGTTTATAGTCATTCAATAAAATCATCTTTCTTTTGTTTCATCTTGCTCAGTAATTATAAATCTGTCTTTTGCCTCAATTTCAAATTGCTCCATTCTGTCCTTATAGCAATACGGGCTACTTATAGCTTACCAATGGGCCACTCAGTATCAAATATCAATAGGGGTGCTCTTGTCTAATGGAGTCAGCCTATGGACAATGATAGGCAGACCAAAGTGGTTGCTTTCTGCACCAAACATAGTTGAATTCTGAACTGCACTTTTTTTAGGCTATCATTTGGTGGTAATTGAGGGCACATACTTTCTAAGATTCGGTTTTTGAGACACTTTTAACTCTTTAATTTGAGAGGACTTCAAAAGACAGATCCTTGTGATTGAAAATCTCCAATTAGACTAAGCTTATGGCAAAGGAACGGGGCAGACCGCCTTCGGAGATGTCAAAAACTGTCTTTTCTTTCTCCAGAAAGTGAGACTAGTCGACTGCAATAGATTGAGTGCTTCATCTGATACAGCGACAGAAAAAGTGGACTGTGGTATATATAACGGGTTAACAAGACCTAACCCTCTTTATTATTTACAGTCCCAGAACAGAAAATCGTGTGTCATGAATCTTAGTATACCTCCTTAAGTATGGTGCCTTAATTTGAGAGGTGCGAGATGAATTTTCAGGGTTGCATGTTAGTAGGATTGAGTGACTGTAAGACTCATTCTAACTTGTTTCAACATTGTTCTTTGCCTTGAGACTGATGCAAGAAACTATTCTTTGCCACATCATTGCTTAATGTGTTTAGCTATTAGATATTGAGATCACTGTGACAACAAGAATGGAAAGACACTATGCTGTTGCTGGTAAGGATGAAGTGTTTTTCTGCAGGGTATAATCTTTAATAGGATCAGAAAGCTTTCTTTGTTGATCTTAACTTTCTATTTACTCAAAGTAGCATACAACTTTCTACAAATACATTTGTAGGTTTAGAAAAATTGAGCAAGGGGAATGAGAATAGCAACCATGCTCTTGCATACTAGAAGTTCTTTCCGTTTGTCCTATATATGTGGAGCAAAAATGGTGTCTTTATGAAGGTACGTACAGGTGGATTGTTGTCGTATACCAATTTATTGACATGAAAATGAATGGGGAGAAGAAGCGTATGGAAACATAAATTACAATGCATTCCAAAAAGAGGAGTAGAAGCTGAGTAGCATCACCATAATAGCTTGAGGAGCAATGACCATTTTGTTTTTGAAAACAACTTTTAAAACCATATATGGATTTCTATGTTAAGCAAATCACATAAAAGTGTAACCCGCAGACCACTCGTGATATTTTCCTTTGGACCTACGCCGCACGAATTTAAAACGTGTCACTATGGTCTAAGGCATGCTTTCTTATATCCAGCATCTCTCCCGTGTATTGCCAATACATCCCCTCTTAGGGACTCAGCGTCCTCGCTGAGGCTTGCCCCACCTTCGTGGATTTACCTAAACTCAGTTAAACACTGAGGTTTGCCCCACCTTATAGGGATTTTCTTCAACTCAGTTGAACGCTGAGGTTTGCCCCATTATCGCTCAAGGTTGCACGCAGAGTAACTCCGATACCATGTGCAACAGCCCAACCAACTAGTGATATTGTCCGCTTTGGACCTAGGCCCGCACGACTTTAAAACGTGTCACTAGGATTTAAAGCATGGTTCCTTATATATCCAACATCTCTCTCGTGTTTGCCGATATGGGATTTGCCTAGTGTTACAAAAAGAAATTGCAAGAAAGAGACAATTTGGTAGACCATGTCAAATCTGAAACAAATGTCCTACCATTGGCGAAAATCATGCAGAATACTACAGAAAATAAAGGAATCTTCTGTGTCCAACTAGGAGAAATCAGCAGCACCATGCCTTTCAGCTCAGAATATTCTTTCGTGGCCATACCTACAGCTCCACCTTTGTTTCATTTTCTCCAATAAGAGAGCAACTCCAGAATACTGCTCATTAGGTGGATCAGTTTCTTGATGTATCTGCTCTATATCCTCTGTCCCTCTTCTCACCTTACAGACACATACTTTTTCACACATCCTGTTGATTGTTAGCCCTGATTTTCAATGCTAGGTTCCAAGTTGGTAACATAGAAATTGCAGGTGTCTCTTTAATTTACCGGTCTTCAAACTGCCGGACAAGGGAGCAAGGTGACCTAGCTTCTATCCAATTAAGGTCGAAAATCAAGGTAAGACAGCATATATGCCTTACTTAAAATGTCTTAGTAGCACAGAGTTAGAATTTTCAGCTACATATGGAATCGACATTTCATTGAGGAAGGAAATCTGCTAAGCCTTTTTGATGCAGCGATGGAACACTTATTAATCACAGGACATGCATATATATACAGGTACGAGGCATGACTAAATTAATCATACGAGTGAGATTTGTGCAAAATCAGCTTACCTTGGCCATTGTCGTTTGCTCTACATACAATGAAAACATACTTGAGGAGAGGGATAAGCGTAAGAGAGTATATAATTAATGAAAGTGCTCCAATGACATCCTCTGGATCATCAATTCCATGGGGAAATGTATTGTTGTAGACATACAAGGGAGATGTCCCAAGGTCCCCATACACCACCCCAAGACTCTGATAAGCAAGCCGCAATAACAACAATGTAGAGAATTTCTGTATTAACACAAAGTCAATCAGGCAACTGGCTAAAACAATGACCAGTACTAAAATGGTCCACTGGTTCATTCATTTTGTGATCTACGAAATCAGACACAAGTCTGCAGAGGATGTACAATTTCAATCATCTGCTTTCATCATAGTGTTCATAAAGATGAAGTAAACAAGTGCACACACGATGAACTACATATGTATACACACACACACACACACACACACACACACACACACACACACACACACATGCATACTTATGTATGTGTATGTACATATACATGTGATACATGATATTTGATATCATCCTAAAATCATCCTCTAAGTTTAATTGAATATCTAACCAATCATTCAGTGGCAGATACATTAATTCAAGTCTTACAAGATCCACCTAATTCTTTACATATCTATTTTATGAGACAGCAAATTACTCGTGCATTAAGATCAAGTAGGTAAGAAACAATCCAAGATTCTTCAAGCTGAATAACTGATGCTAACCTATTAAACTTTGGCCGCATACAAAAGAAAGAAAGAAAGAAAGAAAGAAAAGAAGCACTAAACCAGTAAAGTAAGCAGAAAGCAAAGGGTCCCAAAAAAAGAAAAAGATTAAGAAAAAGAAAGGTATCTTTGACATAAACCTATTTCTAGGGAATCAATAAAAGAAAGCTACATCTTATACCTTTTCTCTATACATATTCCTTAGCCTTCCAGCTTCCTCATCCATAGGCTGATCCAGCTTTTGCTCTAAATCCCACATCCCTCCTTTACTTTCATTATTATTCTCTTCATCAATTTCCATTCCCGAAGCCATCCTCTCAGGGAAAGCCAAAATTGGAAATGAAACAGTTCAAGAACACTGTATATATCCAAAAACAAGATTTGATTTTTTTTAAGCTAGTGCAAGAATTCTCACGTGGGGTCAGCTCAGCTCAGACCACTACCCCAATCAATATCAGCCACAGGAAACAGCAAACCAATTTGGTAACTTCAACCCCTTTCAGTAGAAAACCACCGTTAGTTATGTGCTGAATATGCTGAGTTTAAAGAAAGATTCTCTTTTTTTTACTTATCTTCAATAANTTACTTCTCTTCAGTAAAAGAGCTCAAGAGAATTCAATATTTGAAAAAAGTGACTAAAACCCAATTCTTGAAAAGGAAAGAGAGAGAGAGAGGGGGAGAAATTGTGGCTGCAAAAAGAAGAGTCTGTTGTGGCTTTTTTTGTATTTTTGCAGTCATTGCTGCTTCAGAAAAACTAACTTTTTTCGTTCACTGTTTCTCTTTCCTGAAGAAGCATTTACAGAGCAAACAAAACAAAAAACTCAGCATCAGTTTTCATCTCTAGCTATACTGCTCTGTCTGTGTGTGCGTGTGTGTGCGCGCGCGCGCGCGTGTGTGTGTCAGATAGAGAGAGAGAGAGAGAGAGAGATTTGATGAGTACTGTTTCATGCAAAGCTGGCAGTTTTGGAAGTAAGTTAGTTAAGATGTTATTACAATGGTTAGATTAGTATTAATCTCATAAAGAATGTAGATTCTACTGACCAAATATTGTTTAATGCTCCACCAGTTTTAACTTATAGATAGCATTTTCATTTCAAAATGTGTCATTATATTTGATTTCACTAATAATAATCCCTCCGTCTTAATTTACCTGAAATATCATTATTGGAAAATAATTTTTTCTTTGACTACAATTTCTCACTTCTTTTTAAATATTTTGAATTAATAACTAAGTTAATGTATAATAGTATTCTTGATGTAATTTTTAAATTAAAAGTTTTAAAAATTTATGTTTGAATTCACATAGTTAATTATTGTAGGTGTTTTGATCCTTATAATCTGAACCACTTCACATAAATTGAGACGAAGAGAATAGTATTCTATATAATTTTCATAACGGTATATATTTTATCTATCAAATTAATGTTTTAATTATTCTTTTAACATTTTTCTTAGTGTCACTAATATATAAAATTGAATTAGTAAATTCCTAGCTCTTGATCAAGTGAAAAAGTTGCATGAGTTCACATATCTATGGTGAGTGTAGGTTAAAGTAAGTTGATGAATCAATACAATGACTTTCTTTTCATATGTATGCGAAGGAAGATTAGAGTTAGTTTTATCGATGGTCATTGAACTTTTGTGTTTGTTACCCAAAAATTACTTTTTTTTTGTTACGTAAAAATCATTTAACTTTGTGATTATTACTCAAAAGTCACTTTTCTTTCTTTTGTTACACAAAAATCATTTTACTTTGCTCTAGTTATCACAAAAGTTACATTTGCCAGATGTTATAATATTTTTACTTGAAAAGTCTATTATGCCATTGATATTATATAGATCTTCATATTTATGTAATACCTTCTATAATATATACTATATAATATATTTTTACCTAAGTATTTTATTTATAACTAAAATAACTTAATATTATTTTATTTATTATTTTTATAATATAACAACAATAACAACCCAGTATAATCCCACTAGTGGGGTCTGAGGAGGGTAGTGTGTACGCAGACCTTACCCCTACCCTGGGGTAGAGAGGCTGTTTCCAAATGACCCTCGGCATCCTTCCCTCCAAGAACTCCCCACCAGCAACTCTTGGGGGTGACTCGAACTCACAACCTCTTGATTGGAAGTGGAGGGTGCTTTCAGAGCAACCCACCTTGCCAATTTTTATAATATATTCGTATATTTAATTTTTCCTTAACGTTAATTTTCAAGATATATTGGTAGCATTATTAAATTTGTCAGTAACTTTACTATGAACAAATCTCACGTCAGCGTTCTTAACCACTCCTAATGAAATATTTTTAATAAGAATTATAAAATCAAAGCTCACAGATTTATCAATCAAGCTATATTCGTTAATCCAATAAATAAAATACCAACATTTAGTAAACTCACATCAGATTAACAGTTTCAAATAAATAATATCAACAGATAAAGCTTAGAATTTAATGTTAAACTCAAATATCTTTTAAAAAAAATTAAAAGTTTTACTGACTATAAAAAACTATAATTTGTTAAACAAATCCGTTTTTGTTATTTCAAATAAATATATTTTTGTCGTTTTCATTTTTGAAAATATGTTCATGCTTGAATATGATTAAACAAATTCAGTATCATGGGAAAATTAAACGTACTAATATATTATAAAAATAATAAATAAAATAATATAAAATTATTTTAATTGTAAGTAAAATTTCTTGGTAAAAATATATTATAAAATATATAATCTAGAATGTATTACATAAATTGGAGGATTTATAATGTAAAGGGCATAATCGACTTTTCAGGTGAAAGTTTTATAAAATCTTGTCAAAGTAGTTATCGTGACTAGACCATAGTAAAATAATTTTTGTGTAACAAAATAAAGAAAGATACTTTGACACGATAATCACTTTGACAAGATTTTATAAAACACATGTAAAAATTAAAAATAAAATCAGTTAAGAAAAAATTAAATGTACGAATATATTATAAAAATAATAAATAAATAATATTAAGTTATTTTAGTTATAAATAAAATACCTAGGTAAAAATATATTATACAGTATATAATATAGAAGGTATTATATAAATATGAAGATTTATATAATATCAAGGGTATAATAGACTTTTCAAGTACAAATATTATAAAATCTGGCAAATGTGACTTTTGTGATAACTAGAGCAAAGTAAAATAATTTTTGTGTAACAAAAAAAAGAATAGTGACTTTTGAGTAATGAACACAAAGTTAAATGATTTTTACATAACAAAAAAAAAAGTGACTCTTGGGTAACAAACACAAAAGTTCAATGACCATGGATAAAATTAACTCGGAAGATTAATGTTGTATACCGATATAAACCATAAAGAAATAAATTTGAACTGCGATTAATAAAAACCAAAAATATATGTATTTAGTCAAACATAAGAATATTAAATGCACTCTCATCATAGTGACAAGTGTAAGATAAAATCATCTTGAATAGAACAAAATAGATATTACATATATATTATGATTCAAATTTTATGAGTTCAATCTTTAATAATTTTATTTTTAAAAGTATTGATTCAAATCTATTATTTATTATATTTTTAATAAATTCTTACACATTAATTATACTCTATATCAAAAGTATTGAATTTAAATAAATCTGATGATATCCGGCTCTGCGACATAGTGCTGTATTTATGTGATCATTGTGGCATTTTTTCTTATTGCGTGACAGGATCTTAGACCTTGGCAGGTACAAAGGGGGAAAAGGTCGATTCTTGATTGAACAATAATTATAAATATGTTACTCTAATCATGCCAAGAGAAGATAATGGTATTTAAGTGATAAATAATCAATAAAATAGTTACTAGGTTTTGAGAGCATTATTATTTTAATAAACAGTATAAGGGGAAGGTTTAACATAATGTTAAAATCATTATTTTGTTTTATGTCTATAGCGAAAAAGTGTGCGACCATAATTGAATTTGAGTGCTTAATCTAGATAGCCCACCATATGACAAAATCCATGTCATCTAGTTGAGCACAATAATAATAATAATAATAATAATAATAATAATAATTCATGTCTTATTGCATTCATCTGGTGGAGGCACATTATTTCAATTGGCCCTCAATATCCCAAAATAATTTCCTTTTATACCCTACGTGGGGAAAAATGTCAACTTCAATACTTTAAAAAAGAAAAAGGAGTCGTATATGTGCCGGATAAAAGAGAAATACAATAAATTATATTGTACAGAAAATGAAATACAGTCATACTAATCCACCAAAGTCCAAGATGAACGCAAATATAATAGTAACACTAACAACTTTGTACAATGAACACCATAGTACCATAAACACAAATTAAAAAATAAATGATAAATTAGCATTTGCAAAGATATGCTATCTTTTCGCCACAATACCTCAAATTAATGGAGTTATACTTCATTTATAAATAAATAAAAAGATTATACAACATATAAAATTTGTAATTTACAGAATATTGTAAAATAATTTTCTTATATAATATACTGAATTAGGAACGATGTAGCGTAATGGTTAAACTTTCACAACAAAAATAATACTCAGTCTTAAGCATCAAACGATCAATGCTTTTTATAATTGTACAACATATTTTACATTATATTAGATAAGTAAAAACAAAACTATGAGGATATATGCAAGTACAATCACCTAGACCTATTATAGATAATTAGGAATTGAAATGCTCAAAGTAAAAGTTAAAGCACTAAACTAAATATCTGAAATTACAAGTGAGGGTAGGAGCGCTCCCTCTCCCCCTCCAGAGGAAGAGTTATAGGTCATAGAGAGAGGAATAAATATGAAAATGAAACCTGGCACGACTTTATTCCACTGCAGAGGAGGCACATATTAATATTACTCATGTTGTTTTAATTTATTTGATTCTATTCAATTAGATATAGAATTTAAAAAAGAAATAAATACTTTCAAACTTGTAATCCTAATAAGTCATATTTGTATGGCAATGATACTTCACTTGTGGCGTTAAACATGCGAACGCATTTATATGAAGCATAAAACTTTTTTATTGAGATGGAATTTAAAATTTATGTTAAATTATTTCTAGATTATTCTTTTTGGGATGAAGTAAAAGAAAATAGGATTATATAAACAACAATGGGGGGAAGTAAAATCAGTGTTTTAAAAGGCGTTTCGGGGCGAGGCGCACCAAAAACGCCATGAGGCGATGGTGTGGGGCGAAAATCTCAAGAGGCATACGTCCAGCAATTCGGGGCGTACGCCCGAGCTTTTGAGGCGAGTTTTTTTTAGTGAGGCGTAAGCCCCAGAGACTTTTTCAAATTAAAACAAAATTTGTTGAATAAGTCTTTCATATAATACCCAAATTCTCAAAAGTCAGCTTGGTAATTACTCTAAAGTTTTAAAAAGGAACTGAAATGTATTAAAATTAAAAGTCAAGACCTTTTTTTATTGATTGAAGCCCCAATTCATGATCTTTTCCAATTCTTTATCTTGTCCGCTAGTCTACTAATATCTCCTAAAAGCAACGAATATTCAATTTTTAATTTTACAAATACAAAGAGAACTACATTCTCCTTCATAGCAGCAAGTTCAAAGTTCAAATTGCAAGTTAATCATCATTTTTGTTCCTCTATGTAGAAAACATTATTTTTTTTGACTCAATTACTTGTACTTCTAAATAGCGTATNAAATATTTACTGTAATTATATTATTTTATAAAATATTAAAAATTAAATATCTATGGGGCTTACAGTGCCTCAGGGCTTATATATAAAACACTTAGCCTTACGCCCACGCCTTTTAAAACACTGAATAAAATATATACAAAAATGTCGAAGTGAATTGACCATTTATTAATACGCGTTAAGAATTTTACACTCTTAAGTTGTATTATTAACATGTAATAAAAGGTTATTTATAAAATTACGAAATACAAACCTCACTAGTTTGAACCAATATTTTAAAAGGCGGGGGAGACGAGGCGTTTTACTTCTGACGAGGCGAGGCGTAAGCCCTGAGACATGGGGCGTAAGTCCCACAGATCTTTAAATTTTACTAATTTCAAGAATTTTAAGATAGTATAAAATAAAAAATAATTATAAAAATTACATTAAAATCACAAAATTATAACAAATAATCTATTTAAAATATATATATAAATTATAATTAAACTATGAATAATACGAAAAGTATGACATATATCATAATATGCAAATTAGTTGCAACGCCGTTACAACTCATACATCAAAAGTAATGTATTCGATGCAAAATCTTATATGTATCTCTTAAGGAGTAATGAATCTTGAAAGAATTTCGATATTATAATTTGATATTTTTTTTAAAATACTCCTTTTATTTAATATGCTTTCTATTTGAAAGAGAATTTATATAAAAATATAATTCACAATTTAAATATGATTCTCTACCATCATTTATTTTTAAGTTTCAACAAGTTAATAAAGTGCAAATAATTTACCATACTATACCATGATAACTAATTATTTGTAAATAATTACTAGCTAATACTAAGCTATTAAATTAATAAGTATTGTATCTCGTAAACGTGAAAATAATAATATTTAGGAAAATAATTATAAAAATAATTATGGACTATTATATAATAAATACATAACAAAAGTTAATAAATAAATATTTTTAAATGAAAGATTTATTTAAAATTTACTATCATAGCAGTTTTAGTGGATAACGTACAATAATTTTTAATTTAATTATGATAAAAAATACTCTCAACTTAATGATTTATGATTAAGAAAAATATAATTTTGAATAATCAACGATTTATTAAGAAAATTTGAGAATTTACAAGGTTAGTTACACACAATTGTATAAAGTTTTATTAGGCGAGCCTAGTACGCTGGGCGTTGGGCGTGTCCGAGGCGTAAGCCCAGATGACCGAAGCGTAAGTCTCACGAAAATAAGCCCCTCATATAAGCCCAGTGACGTTTTACGAGTGTTTCGTCCCAGGACGAGCCCCGGACGAGTCCCAATTCTGCCTTTTAAAACAAAGGTTTGAACCATCGCGAATTAATTAGGCCATTTATTAGGCCCCAATCAAGTGAAAATGCTGGAGATTAGATATTTGCAGCCATCGTGTGGTCACACACATGTAAGAACTTGTTAGGTGTGGAGTACACGTGGAAACAGGGAAGCATTAATTGACAATTAAACGATGTACATGTAACCCCACATTGTCAGCGGGTGATATCATCCATTCCGCAGGTTTGCTCTCTCCTAAACTCCTTTATTACTACATTACACCCTCCGCGAGAAGAGTCGACAACCAAAGTATGATTTATATGGACTCAAGAGACATAAATAGGTTTAAAAATAAATTAGGTATCGTTTTATATATAGCACCATTATTCACCGCGTTATACTTTAACGACAGTTTTGTCCGTTAAGGTATAGCACGATGAATAACCGCATTATATATAAAATGTGCCCCCATCAATAATTCACCTGCACTTAACTGACCCACCAATAATTCAAATGTATATAACGTCTATTATGCATGCGCTATACATCCACTAATTGTATCTCCGGACTGGTTTTTTTTCTTATTTAAGGAGGTTCTGAATTTGGTAAAAATCCATAAATCCATTCAGCATCCTTCAAGTCTTCCGAAATATTTGTTTCGTTAAGTTATTTTGTATTTTGTCATAATATCTGAAGAGCGAAAAATTAGGGTTTTATTACATTAGGGGGGGAGGAAAGGTTGTGGCGGAGAATAACTCAGTACGCTATAGTTGTTCTCCACCGTGTCATGTTCAGTTGCCACTTACAATGGAGTACGATAGATTTGTATCGTTATTATGTAAAAAATAAGTGTGAGCAAATGTTCGGTAAATATTAAAGTAACCGAAAGATATCCGTATTCTGTTACTCCGCAAGGGGTTGCTTGTTATGCTGAGTTTAACATCGAAGACGATGAAACTCTGACAGAATTTTTGAGGACTCCGGATGAACACCGGGAACTTCTTGTGATAAAAATGTTGGAAATATACGTCAAGACGGAAGACATTCGCAATAATGAGGTTCCGCAAAGTAGGGATATCCCTCAATTATCGAGTGGTTATTTTGGAGCAGTTTTAGCCGAATAGGTTCTGGGTGAAAGAGTTTGGCCTGATCTAAACTTATCTCCACGGGAAAAATAGGACCGAGGACGTAATTTCTCCCCAAGTTTACATAATCCACAAGCCGAGTGGTAAACTTCAATTTTCCTTTGTGTTACAATGTTTATTTTTATGTATTGAATTTCTATTAATACTCATATACCGACCACCATCGCGATGAATGGGATTCCCGACGAGAAGTCGGGTAAGGCTATGATACCAGCCCATATACTCATGCTCGCCATCCGTACGCACATGTGGAGGGGGTGGCGGAATTAGGTCATACCTCTGGTCCCAAATCTCAATCTGGGCATCTAGCCAGTCCAAGTATGTCTGGTCAGCCCTGGAACGATCATCCCACTGGTAATGTGTCCTAAGCCAAGTGGGCGGAATAGGTACAAGCTGCGGTCGACCAAACTGGCGAAGGACTCGCTCGGTGGCATGATGCTCGACAATATCGAGACATATCAGTGGGACGGAAGAGCTCTACATAGCTCGGCCGCTGGAGCAATAATTGGGCAAACCAGCTATGAGCGCGTCGCTGTATGGCCTCCATAAGAACTATTAATTAAACACAGGAATCGTGAGTAAACACAACACATATAAAGTCAGGCCAAGTAAACTTAAGATTATATGTACCTGAGCGCCTTCAAGCAAATCCAACAAATCCATGTAATAGGGGAGATGATGTCAAGCCTCGAACTCACGTCCGTAGCCTCGCCTATCAATCCACCTCCAAGCTAAAGGGAGAAACGGTGGAGGTGGTGCATCCGGAGCAATGGGTGGTAGAGGTGGTTGGAACTGCAGGAACAGCTCCCAGGCCCAAAACTAATATAGATTGTGGACGTAAAATTTAAGTTATTGTTTTTACTATGTATGTTATAAAAATGAAAAGAATTGACTATGTTTTCACCTGTAACAGCGGTAAAAATCCGGCAACGTCTCTCTGGGTGCCCATGCTAGCCTGACACATCTGCCTATACATGTAACCTAGAACATCTGCACCCCAGCTGTAACCAGGTAAATCATCTAGCCGCTCAAGATAATGTAGAAATCTCAAGCTGACTAGGTTTCCCGAAGTATTCGAAAATAGTACACTACCAAATATCAGCAGCAACACCAATCTCGTGTGTCAGTCGATAACCTCTGGCGGTGAATCATCTGTAATCTCCGCATCCATCGCCTCCAGATGCTGCCGGACTGGCGTCAGCTGCAAACGACTGGCCCCACTCAATGCAGTCTCCTCCGCTGGCTGGAATCTGGTAAGGCGCTGCAACATATGTAGGTAATACAATCCCATGTAGTCTCTGAGAGCATGCCAGTAAGCTACAGGTAATCCATCAACCGGCAGCCCGAAAAGAACCTCCACGTCCTCAAGCATGATGGTAGCCTCACCGATGGGTAGATAAAACGTGTGCGTCTCTGGTCGCCGCCACTCTATCATAGTCATGATCAACACCCAGTCGAACTGCAACCGACCGATCTCTATGATCCTGTAGAAACCCGTATCCTGAAGGTGTCTAACTATACGTGGATGGAGTGGGTGGGCCCTAATGAACTCCCGCATATCGTCTATACGTCTGGGGCGGAATGTCTAGGACAAACATTGCCCATCCCATATGTATGAAGACCTATGGTTGGCCTGTAGTAACAGTAGCTCTAGAGATGCAGGTCCAGGATGCACAAGGAGAACCTCCATGACGATGTCTGTAAATTGAACAATATTAATTAATGTATTTTTCTTTATAATTTCTTAACATATTTTAATATATTGCAATATCTTTTATATTAATATTTAATCGATTTTTTTACTATATTGTTACTTAAGTTGATACATTTTCTATATTATAATTTTATATGTTAGTTTATTATTTTATATGTTAGTTTCTTATTTTATATGGTAGTTTATTATTTTATATGTTAGTTTATTATTTTATATGTTAGTTTATTATTTACCTATTTTGGGTATAATAGAATTAAATAATTAATTTTTATATGAATACATGATTTAATTAATAAGTATTCATATACAAATAATTAGTTTGACAAATATTGTTGTTTTTATGTTATTTTCTTACATTTGTTGACTAGTATTCGAGAGACTTTGTGTTTGAACTATCATCTTTTTTCAGATATTTTTGGGGTTGACAGATAATTAAATAATTAATTTCAATAACTACAAAGATACTACGCTAAAGGACACTACATTGTACTACGCTCAAGGCACTATATTATAATTACAGGCAATACATTAAAATTACGGGCACAACATAACACTAAAGGAAACTAAATAACATTAATTATTCATAAAATAATAATTTATCTATTTTACTAATCTTTTAGCACATAAATAATCTAATCTGGATAAAAAATAACAAATTAATTTAATCACAAAACAATCACGACAATACATATACCACAGTAAACAATAACTAATAAATATTTTTTTATAACAACTAATAACATTAATTATTCATAAAATAATAATTTATCTATTTTACTATTTTTTAGCACAATAATAATCTAATCCGGATAAAAAAATAATAAATTAATTAAATCGCAAAACAATCACGAAAGAACATATATAACAGTAAAAAATAACTAATATGCATTTTTAATACATGAGTTTTAACAAAAAATAAGTCGGAATACCTCGATTTTAAAAGTTTTGAAAGGTGAAGATTTGATGATTTGGGGGCCGAAACGAGCAATCCACTACGCGATAACGCCTTAGATCCGANGGGGGGGGCTGTTAATTCACGTCTGGTTGGGGAAGGAGAAGGCACAGTTTTTTATATAGGTATAGCGCCTTATATATGCGCGCTATACCTTTATAGTTCAAATATAGCGCGGTGAATAACCGCACTATACCTTAATGGATAAAACTACCGTTAAAGTATAGTGCGGTGAATAACCACGCTATATATAAAATGGTGCCCGATTTGTTTTTAACCTATTTGTGTCACTTGAGTCAAAAAAGACCACATTTAGGTTTCGGACTCCCACGAGAAATCATTCATTTATCACTGCAAAAAGTTTTAATGATTGAAGAGATGTGTTATAATATGGTTACATTATGATGGTGTTAAAATTCGGGTGAGGATTGTGGGTGGAGACTCAGAATGTTCTGGAGCGACATATCAAAATGGAGGTGCCATGCTGATATTATTTGCAGATGATATAGTGCTGATTGACGAGACGCGTTGCTGGGTCAACGCTAGGCTAGAGGTTTGGAGACAGACCCTGAAATCTAAAGGTTTTAAGTTGAGTAGAACGAAAACAGAATACTTGGAGTGCAAGTTCAGTGATGAGACGCATGAAGCATAAGCGGACGTAAAGCTTATTACACAAGTCATCCCCAAAAGTGATAGTTTCAAATATTTTGGGCCTGTCATTAAAGGCAACGGGGAGATTGACGAGGATGTTACACATCGTATTAGAGTGGGTGTGGATGAAATGGAGGCTCGCATCTGGTGTTTTGTGTGATAAGAATGTGCCATCAAGACTTAAGGGCATGTTCTTCAAAGTGGTAGTTAGACCGACTATGTTGTATGGTGCTGAGTATTGGCCATTCAAGAAATCCCATGTCCAAAAGATAAAAGTAGTAGAAATGAGTATGTTGAGATAGATGTGTGGGCATACTAGGAAAGATAAGAATAGGAATGAAGTTATTAGGGACCAGGTGAGAGTGGTCCCTATGAAAGACAAACTGCGGGAATCGAGGCTGAGATGGTTCGAGCACGTGATAAGAGAGAAATAGACGATCCGGTTAGGAGGTGTGAGAGGTTGACCATGGCGGGTCTGAGGAAGGGTAGGGGTAGGTCAAAAAAGTATTGGGAAGAGGTGATTAGGCAGGACATGGCATTGCTTCAGCATACCAAGGATATGACCCTCGATAGGAAGGTGTGGAAGTCGAGAATTAAGGTCGGAGATTGATAGGCAGTTGAGGGTTTTTGCTAGTCTTACCAGTAGTATTAGTAATATTCTTATAGTTTCTTGTTCCTAGATCCTTTTTATTATACATTGTGTCATTCTTACTAGTAGTATTAATACTATTCTTATATTTTTTATCTCATGTCTTTATTTTTTTTCTTGTTGTTGTTACCGTTGGTTTATGCCTTGTCATTGTTCTTTGAGCCGATGATTTATCGGAAACAGCCTCTCTGGCTTCACAAGGCAAGGGCTAAATCTGCATACTGATAACTAGGGGTTTTAGCCTATTATTTACTCTCTTTTGCTTAGGTTTTGGGTCAAAAATGTGTAAAGGTATTCCCGAAAACTAACTTAATGTGCTTGCTTGCATGGTTTAGTCAAAATGAGGCAAAAAAGCCATAATCAACTCATGAAGGAGTCAAACCTGAACAAATCCAAGGCTGAGACTGGAGCGCTGCGAGCGGCAGAAAAGCGCGACCGCGTAAGGACTACCGCTGAGGCGGCCACTATTACGCGATCCGCGAAAGTAGATTCAGAGAAGCTGCTTTGAGTACTAAAATCACCGCCGACCGCGTTGGAAAAATGCGTCCGTGAAATCTTTTGCGCGGCCTCAAAGGGATTTCCGCTGAGAGCGCATCTTGAGGTTCAGAGACCCTGCAAGTCAGGCTTAACTGAAAAATGCGGCCCGCATTCAAATTATGCGGCTGCGATGGAAGCACACGCGGACGCGATCCGCAAAATTAAGCTTAATCCAAGCCCAGTATTGAAGAAATGCGGACCGCACTCATTATTACACGGCCGCAAAAGCTCAAGCGCGGACGCGGTCAGAATTACGCGTCCGCGAATCCTCCGCATGGGCATTTTTGTCCGAAAATTTCAGCCTAGTATAAATAGATTCTTTTATCAATTTTAGGTTAAGTTTTGTTGAGTAGAGCACGTGAACAACTGGTTTTTCCCTTTTTGGAAAATTTTAGAGTAGATTTACCTTCAAACTTTAGATTTTCATCTTGTACTTTAATATTATGGCTTATATTTCATCTTNCTGGTTTTTCCCTTTTTGGGCAATTTTAGAGTAGATTTACCTTCAAACTTTAGATTTTCATCTTGTACTTTAATATTATGGCTTATATTTCATCTTTATCTTTGATTTCTGCTGCTATTATGAGTAGCTAGACACCATAGCTAGGGTTGTGACCCAACCTTAGTGTGAGTATTTAATGGGTCTTGAATTTTAGGGCTTAATTGTTTATGAGTTACTGATATTTAGCCTAATTTATGTTAAAATTATAAAATTAGTGGTTGCAAACACTGATTCATGCCTTTATGACTTAGGCTCTTCTTGAGAAAGATGGATTAAGTCTAGGAAAATTAGGCTAACAAGGAATTGGGGCGAACTCAAGAGATTGATAGCCCCAATTAAAGGGTTAAACCTAGAGATAGTAATACCCGACTTGAGCAAATTTCACTTGTATTGTATGAACACCCATTTGGGCTTGAGAAAGCCAAATCGGGCAAAGTCACTCAAACTACCGAGAGGTATAGAGTGAGCATTTATGTGTGATGGTTATATCACGACCCCAATCATAACAAGCTTGTCCTAGATTCTTGATACCCATTAGATACTCACCTAGGCGGAAGTCACTTCCCTAGTGCCTTTTAACACTTGAAAACTTTCACCAAAAATATTGTACTTAGCTTACACTCAGCATACTATAGTATAAAATTAGAATAGAATCAATCGCAACAATGTTTGGAAGTGCAATTAGGAACAACACGCACATCTAGATTAGTTAGATACCCAACTCCAAACCAAATTAACTCCCTGTGGAAATCGATCCCGACCTCGTTGGGTAAAACTGCATCGACCATCCTCGCTACTCTATAGTGGTGTAGGTTTGGACCCGATCACATACACATTACCCTCCCCAGACCCTATGCTTGTGGGATTATATTGGGTTTGTTGTTGTTGTTGTTGTTATTGTTGTTGTTGCTGTTATAATGCGATACACTCAAACAACATGCATTGATTATAACTTACTACGTTTATAATCAATTTCGTAAACTATTACTACGTTTTTCTAAGTTTCATATTTAATAAGCGTTTGGACATAAAGAAAATATGAAAATTTTAAAAATAAGTTTTTAGTTAATTTTAAAAAAAGGTATTTCAATTAAAATATTATTTGGACATATATTTCATTGGAAAAAATATTATTTACTTAAAAAATTGATTTAAACCACTTTTTCATACTCGAAATTCATTTTTCATAATTCTTTGAAACTCTTCTTTAAAAATTCAGTCCAAACAATATTTTTGAAAATAAGTTTCGAAAAAATAATCTTACGGACAAATTGTTCCTTAAACTATCACGTATTTTCATTACGCCCATGTATTAGAACTTTCCACGGTTAAAACTCTCTTCTCTGATTGGTTTGGTTTCAGGTGAGTTTCGGATTGATTTGGGACACTTAGTCCCTTGGTTGAAGGCCTTAGTTGTAAGAGTTGACCAGAATTTGACTTGTGTGTAGACGATTTTGGAATGGAGTTTTCATGATTTCAATAGTTTCGTACAGTAAGTTTGGACTTAGGCGTATGTACGGATGTTGATTCGGAGGTTCGTAGGTTGATTTGGT